CAGCAATGCGAAGCTACAAATTCACAGCTAGAACTTGTACTACATAGCAGAGAACAAGAAGTATCCACTACTGTGGGCCAGTCCTCGTTCTGAAGTTGCCAGGTGCTTTGTCGATGGGGCATGGACCCAAAGTGCGGGGCAGAACGTATCTGCGCCACGCTGCACCTGAATTTTTGGTTGGCCACCTCGCAGCCCCCAATGCACCACCTTCCTTGGCGCTGGATTTCTTGCTTTGCATACATTTCGGCGTGGCAAAAGCAGCAGAGCACAGCAGGGCATCCAAGCGTCCGTTGGCGCCGCTGTACAGCCAGGCAGAAGCCCCCGCACCACTTCTCTTCCAAACCGGATGTCCATTGGCGAGCATGCCTGTAAACCATCGGATCAGTACATGAGACATGCTTTGCTCTTCATGAGGACCTTCGAGTAGTTCGAAGCGCCCGCTGAGGCTCTGTGCACCGCTCCTCGGAATCACTCGCCCTTGAATTTGAAACCACTCTGTCGAATAGAGAACTGAGCCTCGAACCTCGAGGTCACCCAGAGCAACGCAGGTGGCTGCTCAAAGGGCTCTGTGGTTATTCCTGATACGAGTACCCGCTCCGAGAAGAAAAGCCCAGCTTGGACTGGCACTCTGCGCTGCTTTCCAAGCTTCGGATGTCGTCGTCCTGCTGCCAACCCTCGCCGGTCTTGATGCCCCAACCTGGAAGCGAAGCCAGATCTTCCCTCCTCACTCAGCTCAGGCTGACGTTGGAGCCTCGAGCAACTCCAGCGAAGCTCTGCGGCAGCAGGCCTGCCACAAGCAAAAGCTTTGGGAGAACTGCTCAGCACAAGACTCATTCGGACCCGCCTGCATGTGGCTTGGATGAGACAATGCCACCGAAGCTGCAGTTGAATTCCCTGCAGGGCATAGTCACAATCAACAGCCCGCATGCACGAGGCATCTCGAAGGTGCAAAGACCCGTGAAGTCTGCGCTTTCATGACTTATTGTCGAAGTGCTTGTCCGGGGTGCCTTTCGACCACCAAAGTTCTGCTCACAACATACCTTGTCTTCACTTCAACCAAGGACTGTGTGAGTGTGCCTGCATCATCATGTGCAGTAGTCCACCACAGAAACAGATGCAACACTGACAACAAGGACGACAGCACCCATCGGAAACCGCTAAATGCACTACGAAGAGTGCAATGCAACGGCTACTAGGGCGACGCAAGCGGCGACTCAACAAGAGCAGTAAAGGCGATATCGATTTCGACCACGATGACGAAAACGACGACAATACCAAAGAGACCGACATCGGAAGCGAACGGAAGCAGCGACGACATGCGACGACGACAACAACGGCGGCAGCTACTGCAGTGGTGGCATGGTGGGACCCATAACACTGGTATCAACACACCACTAGTGATGCTCAGTCTCGGTGACCATCATGCTCGATCATCCCCACAGCACAACATCCAACTTCAGACCGTCAACATTGATGCCACACTCAACAGAACGAAAGAATCCTCTCCGAGATTCCACTTGCCGTTCCGGCCGCTGTAGATGTAGGCTTCTTCCCCATATCCGGCACGCTTCCAGAATGGGTACCCATTAGCGAATTGCCCTTCGCTATGGTGGTATTCGCCACTAAGCTTCTGATGCCCGTTCCTCAAGACAAGAGCTGCACACGGCTGAACAGCTATGCATAACCTGTGGCACATGGGCTAACGATGTGCGCCATCTCAGGAAGGACACGGCGAGATCACGTAAATCGTCTCTGGCGCCAGTGACGCAGACAACAGAAACCTGATGGACAGGTCCTGGCGCGGAAGCTGCAGATTCATCTTACTCTGCTCCCAGGCAGTTTCGCCAAGTACATGGCCTTGTTCCACCCTCGACTGTCCTGGTTTGACAGATTGTCAGGCGGTAGCCACAGAGACAGGAGCCAAAGAACAGCGAACAAAGCTGTTTCTCTGCAGCTTGTCCTTGTACTGCCAAGAGTGCTCTTCGAGCATGTTCGGAAGAAGTCCTGGACACATGCGAAGAATCAAAAAATGAAGTTCACAATTGACATCTGGATACGTCCGGGGGAGGCCTCGATGCTCATCAATGCTGGACACTAACCCACGTCCACACTGAAAGTCGGACTCTTCAACTGCCTCCGCTGACAAACTGACATGCACAGCACGGTGCTATTCCCTCTTTGAAGGCATGCCTTGTTACAGCTGACGTACCACTTCTTGTTGGGCCCACCTGGGCTACACGACATCATGCGGTGAATCACAGCAAAGCTGTATGTCTGTATGTCGAAAGATACGACTTCTGGTTTGCACCGATACAGCGGGCATGCACCTGAGCAGCCAAGGTGCTGTAGATCCATGCCTCTTCCCCTACGCCAACTCTTTTCCAAACAGGGAAGCCATTGGAAATCTGGCCCTCGATCAGCTGGTACAAGCCTATAGGGCTGGATCATTCGATGTACCAACTCAACATGGTCTGATGCGGGAATGGCCATGTGTCCCTTTCGACCCAGTGCCTCCAAGCTTTTGTTGGCCAGCCCGAGACGTGAAGGACAGTTCGGTAGGGACTTCTTGCACTCGAGGCATCAGGCACGGCAGTCTACAGCTGTATTTTCGCCTACGACTCGGTGAGTTTCTGGTATGGCTCTTACATCATGTCCATATCATGCTAATCCGTCTGTTCTCTGGCACGGCAACCAACCGAAACGTGTGAGGCGTACTGTCACGATGCTACTGCTTGCTGACGGCATCTCGGGGGGGGGGGGGGAATGCTGTGCCTTGCCCAGCTACATTCTGTGCATCGTGGGTCTGACGACGGATGGACGCAATGCTGGTGTCTACAGAACCTAAAGCTTGGGAAGCAAAATGTACAAAGGTGAACTGCGGCTTGAAGAATGATCTGCCAAGGCTATCGACGGTTTCGACCTCTCCTGCGACCTCTCGGTAGCTCCTAGTCCTACAGTCTAACACGCTGTCTTTTTACAAGACCTGCGTGACCGGCAAACACCTGCACGATGATACACATGGACAGCTGCGCTACTTTCCTTGCTATGGCTTGCGGTCACAAGCTGCAGCTGCAACAGCATGACGTGACCCAGATATCGAATTCTTCGAATTCTTCAGAGTCATCGCTCTCAAGGCTCCGCCGGTGCCATGCCGACATCGGATACCAGCACATCCAGCCCCTCCCGTGAGCAGCTGTTCCACAGCCAGGGCCAGCACATGTACTATCACCCCTCCTGTGCAGAGCTCATGCATGAGCATGAGCAGAACTTGCTCCAACAGCCCATAATTCTCAAGGCACGGGTTTATCCGGTCACCATCAGGCAAGGCAGTGCGAATGAACCCGTAACCTTGAGTTCATTCGCACTGGTGGACACCCAGCTTTTTTAACACCTCAGCTTTTTAACACTTCGAGTGGCATTGCTGGCAACGACGTCAACATGATGATGCAGTTTCGCAAGTGCACAGCAGTCGGGTCACAAAAAAGCATCGTTCTGTTTGTGGCACTACCCCAGTGTACTGGCATCAATGCCCAGAAGCAACGACAAACAGCAGATGTGTTCATGAAACGCCCCATGGCACGGCAGTTCAATACTGTCAAGCTTCCATAGCCGCCGCTGCAAACATTTTTTCAATGCATAGCTGAAAGCTCGTGCCAAGCGATCCTAGTAATCAGCTAGGCGGAACCAGCTGGCAAATGGTAGCTCTCTGGCAGTCACATATAGCTGTGAACCCTGTGCAAAGGTTTACGACAACGTATTCCGTATTCCCCTAGAAATCGTGACGAGAGGATGCCTGCGCTCAGAGGGGCCTGGAAGGCGCCTTGGCCGTGGAAGCTTTGCTTCAGATCAAGTCTCCAGGGACATTCAGGGTTCGGGATAATCTTGGGGGGTTTGGGCCCGGGCATGAGACTTCGGCAAACTGAACTTTGGACAACTGACCAGCAAAGCTCACGCTAGACAGACCAATATCACGAGGCCGGCAAGCCATGGGCTTAAAAACTTGGTGGTATCCTACTTGCCGAAGCAGTTAGAGTATACCTTGCCTATTTA